GATTTGTTTCGAATGACTCGCAATAAGTCTCGAACACTGTCAAACTTATAACGCCTGTAATGACCAATGTTAGTCAGAAATGCAGGTTCCATCTTTTCATCCCATTTCCCACCCAAAGCTATGGGTGCAATACTTTCTAGGGCTTTCAAAAGACCAGAGTTAGCCTCTCTATCTTCAAGTTCTACCCTGTCACTAGTGTCACGAAGAAATGAAAGTCTCGTCTCTGAGCTCCAGAAAAGAGGATGATACAGCACCTCCAATGCCTTTGGCCTGACCACAAATTAAGAATGTTTCTGTAACCAAAAGAGTTCAAGAAACTATTCCTAGTTTCCTGTTCATTAAGAAAAAACTAAAATCCTTACCTCAACTCTGGGTCACGGTTTAACAAACAAGAAATAAGATCCACGGCTTCAGGAATATACTCCACCAAGAAGAGATCCACTTTGTTCTTCACAATATTTATGTCACGTTCAAGGTGATCCCCAAATGGATGTCTGCCACCAGTGATGCAAAAGAATATTACACAACCTAAACTAAACAAATCCACTGCAAGTGTTTGCCGCCCATGAAGAAGCTGTTCAGGTGCTTGCCAACCAGAACTGCCAGAACCTGTAATCCAGTGATCAAATATTGTCCATAATTAATGAACAGTTATAACTTATAATTCAGCTTTTGAAGATTAACATATAATAGTTTCGATGACAATATCAACATGATGGATGCCATTAACTCTGCATGTTGTATAAAAAAGGTGGGTATTTAAAGTTTGTAAGACAAGTAAAGAGTACTTTCCAGTAGCATGATGACCCAAAGAAGACATGTCCCCAATAAGGCGCTTGCTAATGCCCATATCAGAAAGCTTTGCACACAAGGATCTTTGCTTAATCAACAAAACATTTTGAGGCTTTAAGTCGCGATGAATGATTCCCAATTCATGCAAATGCACAAGCCCAGAAACCACATCCCTGTGTCACAGATAAAAACAGAAGGTCAAAATACCTAAATCAAATCTGATAACAAAGCATCTAAGATAACAGTAACCATTGTCATCTGTTGAAAACCACATATACACCAAGAGATGGTTATTATCCCTTGTAAAGATCATACAAACTAATGGAACTTTTAACCAACCTCAGCAATCTCAATAATAGAGGTGACGGGAAGCCATCTGTTTTCCACAAATTAACATCTGACATAATATTCTTCACTGACTCCAAGTGAACTTCATTTCCAATCAGAACTCGTTTTGCATCTTCCTCTCCAACTACTGGATTTTTAGAGGAATCTGAGCAAATTTGTATCAAATCATCCAAGTTGCAAATACAACGCTCCAGAGCGATATAGACAAAATCTTGATCATATTCGACTCCATACCATCGTACTATATTTGGATGTCGGTCAGACGCGATAAGATTCTGAATTTCTTTAAAAGCCACATCATGATGAGCTAATACAAGGCGTTTTACAGCAACAGGTCGACCTTCATAAACTCCCTCTAGGACAATCGTACCGTTGCTACCCTTAGAAATTTCTTTATTTGATATAAGTAGTTTACCAATCCTGCGACCATTAGTACCACCATCAAAGAGTTTATTAAGGAACAAGCGTGTCTTGTTATCACTTTCAGTGTGTGTTAAAGCTTCTTCATCTTGAGATGATATAATGCCACTATTCTTTTCTGATTTACGACTCTTCTTCCTCTTGGAAGGTGTAGTTTTTGAATCAGAATTGTTGCGTTGATCATGCAACCAAACTTGCCCTTTAACCACAGAAGCACAGTGGTACACAACAAAGCCCATGAGCATGACAAACAAAAAAGTGAGAGTCAATGCTGTTGATCCATCAAAAAATTTATTGTCAACCTCAGGCTTTGAAGGAAGCATTGGACTTGAAGCAGGCTTTTGAACCATGGTGTCTGTCTCTTGATCCTTTAATTTTCTTCCAGGTCCAACTAATTCTAACAGCGTATGATTTCTCTGGGGGAAGATAAGTTTTTTTGATTGACATGATAATGGTGGTGCAATGTCACTGCCAGTTTCAGAACCAAGCACATTTTTTGAATTCAAAGGGGCACCACCAAGTGGATTCTCATTATCAGGACAAAGTAAAGCAGCCCAAATTTCACCAACTGTCATATTCCATGAGACCTGGTCTGAATACGGAACAAACGACTGCAAGGAATAATCTATCCTGGAGATAAGTAGTCGCTGCTGAGCAGCATTTTGGTTTATCGAACCAGGCTTGATCAACTCCTTATTATATCTAATATTATTATTGGACAAAACTCTCTGCTTTTCATTACTCTTCAAAGTGGATGGAGAATTGGGTAGAGCGTATGGGCGAATCAGCTCCCCTGTCAAAAGATCAACCTCAAAGACAGTGTTCTTCTTAGACCCAACTGTAATTGATCCATCATCCTCTGAGTGAGGTGTACTACCGACATATTCATCAATAGTGTACGGAAGTTTCTGCAAATACATGTAAATCAATTATCAATGTATAAAAAGCAATGATGCTCCGTGTATATCAAGACCTATTCAAGCACCCTTATTTCTCACAGATTGCATGGACTCCATCTATCAACGCAGTGAAATTTTGAATTGCATTACCAAAAGGTACCAACTTTACCATCCCCTAACTAAAACAAACTGAAATGAACAGATTCCCAGGATAATTCTCAAAACTATACAATCAATACACCAATATCACTAGATTTGGAATGAAACCGACACACCATCATCAAGCACACACCAATTTAATTATAAGCAAAAAATGGAACAACAAATAAACAAACAAACAAAATGGCATTTTTATGAAAAACCTCTCGACCAAAGTGCCCTCTGTGCAGATACAAGTTCCAGTCGTCACCACAATCGATGAAGTAGCGACTATTTTTTGAACCAGAAGTACTGTCTTGAGCCTGATAAGAGGTGTAAAGTGGCGGCCCTGAAGAAAGCGACCATAGTACTCTCATCGAATTGCTCTCCACCAAATGTATTCTCCCATCCAGTGCAGCAACTAATGCAGTCGGCTCACTGTTCCAATTCAAATTGGGCCCAAAAACAGCAACAACAAAAGTGAAATTCAAATCAAAATCAAAATTAATGCAATTTAAGATTTTAATTGAATACCAATTTATCAAAATTAAAAAAATAAAAATAAAACGAAACTGACGGTGTATGGGAATGAAGTCTTCGGCTGGGAGAGCGAGAGAAGACTTCGAGCTGATTCTGATGCGAACCCAGAGGCTGCAACTCCCTTCTCTCCCAGTTCAAGACGTCGCCGTTCGGTTTCTGATGCAAAACCAGAAGCTGCAACGCCTTGCACTCTGAGTTCAAAACGTTATAATCACCCAGAATCTGCAACTCCCTGCTCTCCGAGCTCGAAACGTCGCCGTTTGAGCTGAAAAAGCCGGCGATGAGCAATATGAGTAGGAGGACTGCCCAAATAGAACTCTGGTGCTTCATCTGTTAGATTCAATCGAAAAGAAAGAGAAAACGATGATGTGGTCGAAAACGAGCTGAGGGGTTTTGGGATGGGGGAGAAGAGAAGAGAAGAGAAGACAGCGCCGGAGATTCGAAGCTTCTTACGACCCTCCACACTTCGGATCTCCGACTCCGTAAGACTCTGTTGCCTGTCTGGTTGTTTTTTCTCGCCAGCGGTTTTTCTTTCCTTTTTCTGCCTTAAAAAAATAAAAAAAATGGAATTTGTTTGACTTCTTCATAAATACGTACGTTTTCATAAGAATTTTTGTCAACCTTGGTGTCTGATAAAATTAATAAATAATTAAAATCTAAATCATTTCGTCTTATATTTGGGCCAGGCCGACGGGTCCCCGAGCTGCGGGCCTTGAGCGGGTTCATGGTGACTCAAGACTCTAAGACTCCCTCAAGGTTGGAAATTTGTCCGAAAAAGTTATAAATAAATACTTAAACTTAAAATAAAAAAAGCGGTAAATTTCTATGAAAATGTTGTGAATAAATACTTAAACTTATAAATAAATAAATAAATCTTTGGAATTCTAGTCTTATGATGCATTGGAACGCTTCGTGATTAATATGAGCTAATTGACAAAAAAAAAAAAATAGAGCTAGACTTTTATGCGCGTGACTTTTAATTTACTATATTTTGACTTTTCTTATTCAGATGGGCGATAATATATTAAACTCACACATGCTACATTAATACTAGAACTCGAACTCAGGACCTTGTCTGGAGAAGCAATTACTCTGAACCACTACACTAGTGAGTCTTTTGCTAATTTACCGTATTTAATTTCACACAACGCAAATATTTACGAGACTCAAAACTTTTTCACGTAATTAATCAATTGAAAGTCAACACCTAAGAAGACATGAAAATGTTAAAAATAGGAGGATTTTATCATTTGTGGATTTTAGTAGTTGTTGTAGTAGTAGCAAAGGGATTTAGTAGTTGAAAATTATTGATGTGTTGCATATACTTACACGTCATCCTCTTGATGTAAAGTTAAGTTGATTGGAAATGAAAATGGAATAGGTGCATATAATTTCTTGTATGCACTTCTACGGATCCATGATTTTTTTTCCCTCATTGTTACAAAAAAATGGACAAACCATTTACTATAACAATCAATTAAAAAAACCTTTAAATACATTAATATATATTTTAAAGAATATTTTATGTAGTGTTTCCTATTAACTGGCTAAATGCCTATGTTTTGTATACTAATGACCAATATGTATTTTTATTTTGCTAATTTGGTCATTGTGTTTCGCTCCGTTAGTCAATGCTATCAATTCCGTCAAATTGAGTTCCTTGTGTTTCACCCTGTTAAAAAATTCTTAAAATTCTTAAAAGTTTTATATTTTTATTTATTTATATTCAACCTAAAAAACCTAGGATGTCAACACATTTTCAAATAATTGTGAAATTACTTTCAACGTAACCCTAGCGCAACGGTCAAACAGGAGGCTATAAATAAACCAGAGCCGCCGATTGTAAAAATCTCACGTGGCAGTCCCCGCGCTACGAAGGCAAGTTTTTACATTTGAGTGGAAATTTCAGTTGACTCTGCACCTCCTTCCCCCTCAAACCCAACTCCCATTGCAAGAAAAAGAGGGCGGCAAATTAAGCCAAAACGACGCCATCAGCCATACGATCATAGACCAAACATGTTGCAGAACAAGTCCTTCGTCAAGAGAACCAGAGGAGGCAAAATCACCAAGGTCTCTCTCATCTATTGTCCCTCTCAAAAACCCTAACCCTACGTTTGATTTTATGCTATTGTTTTCAGTTAGGGGTTTAAGCTAATTAGGGTTTTTGTTTTGGCTGTGCTTCGCCTCAGGTCGTGAGAGAGCACTATCTCAGACACGATATATACTGCGGAGCTCCGATATGCAAAGTTTGCGATACATCCCAGGCTCGCTTGAGCCCTACACCTTCCACCATTCTCATTTTCGATACCAATGTCGTTCTCAATCAGGTTGGTGATTATATCTAGTTTATTTTTTTGGATTGAAATTTGTTCTCCAACTGCAGTGAAGAAGTGATTTAGAGCTATGTTCGTGGTGTTTACAGATTGATTTGCTTGAAAACCCGGCAATTGACGATGTGGTTGTGCTTTCCATTGTGCTCGAAGAGGTCAAGAACAGGAACTTGTCTGTTTACAACAGAGTTAGAGCTCTCTGCAGCAATTCTTTAAGGAAATTCTTTGTTTTCTCCAACGAACACCACAAGTAGGTTCTATTTACAAATTGAGAATCTGTGTTTTGAAGGTTATTTTTTATCTTGTCGTTTTTGTTGGGATTTTAAGCACTTATTTTGACATGTGTTGATTGCTGCTGTGTTCAGGGATACATATGTTACGGAAATGAGCGGAGAAAGTAAAAATGATCGAAATGATAGAGGTTTGCTCATGCTGTGATTACAAAATTTGTTTCCTCAGGATATACTGGGTGTTTTGTACTTGTTGATTTTTGTGTCTTTTTGTTACCTGCCAACACTATGCAATACTGTTATGGCATTTGGTTTATTGTGTGGCTTGCAGCTGTAAATTTCCTACTTTTCTCACCTAAGAAATTATTATTCAGCAATTCGGGTGGCCGCTCAATGGTATCAAACTCATCTTGCTGGTTCTGCTCGGATTTTACTTATAACTAATGACAAAGAGAATAAGAGAAAGGCTATTGAAGAGGGAATTTCTGCAGAAACAGGTGTGTATAATATGTTTGCTATCCATGTCTTTTTTTAACAGCATCTTTTATACTTCAGACCTTCCCTTTGAGATTAATATCCACATAATTAAATGTGTTTATTTTCAAATGTTGGAAGTTTTGTGGAATTACTCACTTGGGAATTATTGCCTTGTCTTCAGTGGAGTCTTATGTGAGGTCATTGAGTCGACCAGATTTGCTTGACCTGCTTGTGCAGCCTGCGTCAGAAGATGTAAACATGGAGGAAGTTGAAGATTTGAGACCATCAAAGAGGAAAATCATTTACACAGAGGTACTGCTACTGAGTATGTGTGCCTTCATGCGTTTTAGTGTTGTTATAAGTTCCATGAAACAAATGTGGTTCTTACCAGTTTTTTCTCTCTTTTCTTTTCCAGCATAAGCCCATGTCTGAGATTACGTCTGGTTTGCATCGCGGTATATACCATCAAGGCAAACTTAGAGTGAATCGTTACAACCCATTTGAAGCATATGTTGGAAGTGAGAGCATTGGTGATGAAATTATAATTTATGGACGTACAAACATGAATAGGGCATTTGATGGGGATATAGTGGCAGTTGAGCTTCTGCCTCAGGATCAATGGCATGAGGAGAAATCTCTAGCTCTAGCAGATGAAGGTGGGTCTTATTTTTTATTTTATTTCTAGTTACTTTTTTTGGGTGGGAGGTTGAAAGCATCTCTCTCTCTCTCTCTCTCTCTCTCCTTATTAATTTTTTTTTTTTTAATTAATATACTTTGTACTATTTTGCAGAGGATGAGGAAGAAGATGTTCATCTGGTTCCAGGAAGTGCTGATGATGCTCCTAGGACTACAGCTCAACCACCAGGTTCTGCTGGAGTAACAGAGCCTATCTCAAGCCGTCCATCTGGCCGTGTTGTTGGTATTATAAAGCGGAATTGGCATTCGTAAGTTGACTTCACTGGCTGCCTGAAGCCTTTTTGTCTTGCTGACAGAAGTGGTATCTGTTCAAATTATTGTTTGGCTGAAATATGTTTCTTCATTCAAGTAGGTAGCAAACATTGTGTTACCTTTTGGCATGTCTATGCCTTAAAGTAGTCATTGTTGTGCTATACTAACATCCCACTGTTACCCAGATGTTTGTAGATTCTCATTTGCTTCAATTTGCAGTTGCAGCTGTTGGTTGTTATGATGATCTTTTCTAGTGATTGGTTCTGTTATCTGATATAAATTAACACTCGTGCAGTTATTGTGGATCTTTGGAGCCGATGGCTATGCCTGCAGGTAGTGGTGGTGTTGCCCATGCCTTATTTGCCTCGAAAGATCGTAGGATTCCTAAGATTCGAATACACACACGACAGCTTGAGAATCTTCTGGACAAGAGAATTGTTGTGGCGGTTGATTCTTGGGACCGTTTGTCTCGTTATCCTTCTGGCCATTATGTACGAACCATAGGACAAATAGGTGATAGAGATACTGAAACTGAGGTAGGCTGGAAGGAGTTCCATTGTTTGCATTTGTTTGTTTGAACATCCATATTTTACCTTCTTATGTACTATTTAAACATCTAATCAATTGAAGTTTAGATGGCAATGACACTGATTTAACTTTTCGGATGTTGCAGGTGGTCTTGATTGAGAATGATATAAATACAAGACCATTTTCTTCTCAAGTTCTGGCATGCTTGCCACCGTTACCATGGTCTGTGTCTTCTGAAGATTTGGCAAATTCTATTAGACAGGATTTGCGACAATTGCGTGTCTTTAGTGTGGACCCTCCTGGTATATGACCTGTAGATTATTTTTTTTATTCCTTGTTCTTCTCCCTCTGCCTAATTTGTTATTGGTTTTTGTTATTTTTTGCTGTTTTCTGTTGGGTAGATAATTAATAGTTTAGTTAAATGTTATGATAAGTGCTTTTCTTCTGGTTTCTGCAGGATGCAAGGATATTGATGATGCATTGCACTGTACATCTCTTCCAAATGGAAATTACGAAGTTGGAGTCCGTATCCTCAACCTCATGACATTTATTAATAATCGAAGTTGCTTGTATAACTGAAATGTAAGGTTTAATTGTACATTAGCGATAAAGATTGTGCATTTATCTTTGTGTCAATGCATAACCCAAGTCTGAAAGAAGAGATAGTTTCTGCAAGTTCAGAAGACAAAAACATGAAATTTATTTTAGAATATAATTATAATGCATTAATGCAGTCTTGTCCATTGCTTTCTCTGCTTCCTACTTTTGTTTGGTGCATTACATTTTTTCTCATTTCTAACATGTATTGTTGTTTACTTACTCAAAATTTTGTTTTTCATGCCTTATTCTGCCACCCATGCCAACTTTTACTATAAGTATAAAATGAGTAACCTACAAGCTTATCCTTAACGACTTCAATTAGACATTGCTGATGTAACAAATTTTGTACACTCGGACACTCCTCTTGATGATGAGGCTTCACAAAGGGGCACTTCGGTCTACCTAGTTGAACGGCGCATTGACATGCTTCCAAAACCTTTGACGGAAGGTGACTTTTTGAAATAAAATAAAAATCTTCTTCTGCAATGAGTGCAGTAAAAAAGAAAGTTTGATATTATGATTGCATTTTCTGTGATTTAAAGATATAGTTCTTATTATGCAGATGTATGTTCTCTTCGAGCTGATGTGGAGAGGCTAGCTTTTTCTGTTATATGGGTATGTACTCCCGACTAGTCACAATAAGATTAATATTTTAAACTATTAGTTATTTCTTTTATAATTTGAATTTCTTAAATCAATCAATAAGCTGGATTTTGCATTTTTTTTTCGTAAGACACAAACTTACGCAGTGTTTATCGGTCATAAAACACACATTTGTATACAAACACACACATGAATCTGTTACAGAGATACCATATTATATTTGTTTTATTTGCACACACACACATAAGATAGGTTTAACCAATGTTGGAGTCTTCTTTTGTTTTTTTTGGATTGGTGTAAACTTGTTTACCTGAATTTCAGGAAATGACACCTGAAGCTGAGATTATTTCTACGATGTACACAAAAAGTGTCATTAAATCGTGTGCAGCATTGTCTTACATTGAAGCTCAAGCGAGGATGGATGATAGGTGCATTTCCACTCCAACTTAGTTACCTTTGGTAGATAAATTCATTTTGACCATACCACTTTGGTTTGCAGGATACTCTCATGTTCAATAATTATAATGATGTTTTGTTAATCTTAGTAAACTTTACTTCTTGTTAGAATAATAGATTTGTTTCAGGTATGTTTTTGCCACATGAGCATTATATTTGCTTCACTTACTTCATGCATTCACTTGTTATGTTTCTACCTATATACTGCATGTGCATGTGATTGTAATGTATAAAATGACAATATATCCTACAATGCTCTAGGAAGCATATTTTGTTGTGATTTGACACGTAAAAGTAAGATGAATGATAGAAGTGAGTTGGTCCTAACATTTGAAAGAAAGATAGTACATTGGGGATGCAAGTCTCAGCAGAATGTGATCATCTGGGGTTGGAATAGTCTGATAAGTAAATAACCTAAGTAGAGCTTCCAAGAAGAGATCTAGATTGTAGTGCTTCTTTGATTTTTCAAGATGATGCCTAATCACCAGAATACAGAGTAAGGTTGATGTGGCTAACCCATAATGTGTTGGGTTGAGCCTTATCTACTGAATCCTGGGTAGCGATGAATAGCTGTGTATTATGAACTTGAAGTGCATATAAAGGAGTTTGACAGCACTAGTCATAAGTGTGCAAGTGTCAGCTTTAGAAATCTATAATAAAATGGGCCTATGGTATGCATTGCCTGGCAAACAAACTGGTTCTAACTCCTCCTGGTGGAAAATGTCTAAGAATCTGGCATCTTTTGTTGCTTTAGCACTCAGTGAACAAGGAGAGAGATTAAACTCTATGTGGCACCAATGGTGAATTTTAAACCTGCACCAATGATTCAATCTGCTCACTGGTGTAGGGTTTTTGCAATTGGCCCCTGCATGGTTGATCCCTTTCCTATGGCCCCTATAAATGTTTCTTGTAGCTTTGCATTTTTATAATAAGGCTTTCTTATTGCTTTTTTCTTACTGCAGTCGGTTGATGGATCCATTAACTACAGATTTAAGAAACATGAATGCTTTAGCAAAGGTATGCACACGTGGGCTTTACCTTGGCTATGAATTCATGGGTTAAACTGCTGTAATATGCTATCTATTTTCTCGACTTCTCTGAACAATATGCATTTGTATATGATGCTACAGATAATGAGGGAAAGACGTATCCAGAGAGGAGCCTTAACTCTTGCATCTGCTGAAGTCAAGTTTCAAATTGACACCGAGACTCATGATCCTCTTGATATTGGTATGTGGTTGGAAAGGCAAATTTCATGTTCAACATATCAAACTTTCATTGATTGTAGTCCGAGTCTGAATCCTGAACCGATTTACTTGCACTGAGAAAAGATCAGCTGTGCTGTTGAATAATCCACCAATGAATAATTACCTTATTTCATGATATTAATTGCTTAGTGCTGCTCTAGGGTCATGTAGGCATAATAAATATTTACTCTCAACTCCACTTATTCACATTTTTTGGCTGATAATATTCACATTCACATTGGTTTTAAAGTTGGTAATGCATATATCATATTCTACCCATGTTTAGTACTTCGTGTTTGTGAAGGTCGTAGCATCATTAGGTAGACTGTATTAAACGTGTTGCTTTGGAGTCTGGTTTTATTGCTTATTTTCTTTTGTAGCGATTTCATTATTTTGGCTCTTTTCTTAGCTGTTATGTTTCTAATCATGACTTGTTTCTGCAGGAATGTACCAGATTCGTGAAGCAAACCAGATGGTTGAGGAATTTATGCTTGCTGCTAATGTTTCAGTTGCTGAGAAGATCCTTAAACATTTTCCTCTTTGTTCATTATTGAGGTAAGTTGGTGGATTTTTCTTCAACAATTTTCATGGTCTCATGTTATTTTTCCTGGAATGTCCTGATGATTGTCTTTTGATTACAATTAAGGCTATAAAGTGGCACAGGGGTCTATTTAGGTTGGTTGTGTTGGAATGTATCACTTTTTCGTTAAATGTAGATCTCTTATCTAAATGGTTGATGTAATTTTCTTTTTTCATCTGAACTTTGTGGTTATGGCAGGATAGGTGCATAGCTGCCTTCTAACTTTGCCGCATGTCTCTTTTTTGGGTCATTTAATTTACGTATGTGTTCTGCAGGCGCCATCCTACTCCCACGAGAGAGATGCTTGAACCTTTGTTGCGTACAGCTGCTGCTGTTGGTCTCAACTTGGATGTCTCATCATCAAAAGCACTGGCTGATTCACTTGACTCTGCAGTGGTAGGTGTTTATTTCATATGCATGTTATTAGTATGAGACTTACGGCTTTTCTTCAGTTAAGTGTTGTGTTTCATTATTTTGTTCTCTCTCACACCCACATATTGTAAAAAAATTGAATTTTTCCCAGGCTGATGATCCATACTTCAATAAGCTGATTCGTATATTGGCTACTAGATGCATGACACAGGTAACTTTACTTGAATGGTTGAGTGAAGTTGAAATTCTCTTGAAGGACACCTTTCTACATGCATTCATTTACCTTCGATTTGCATAGGCTGTTTATTTCTCTAGTGGGGATCTCAGCCCTCCCGAATATCTTCATTATGGGCTTGCAGCACCTCTGTATACTCATTTTACCTCTCCTATAAGGAGATATGCAGGTTAGATTCAGTCTTAGTCACGTAATTCTTGGTGATCGAGTTATTGTTGTTTAACTTACAAACTTTCTTTTCCCGCAGATGTCATAGTGCACAGGTTGCTTGCTGCATCTTTAGGGATACAGAAGCTTCCAACTATATTCCAAGACGGAAACCGGCTAACTAGCATTGCTGACAGTACGGAATAATTTTCCCTGTCTTTTTTCTTTTTTGTACATTTTCATATTTATGAGTGATATTACCATAAGAAAAATGCTTGGCTCCTCACCCCACAAACCAATGACAATTTGACATGTATCCAAATTTTTTTATTTTTTATTTTTCCTCGTAAGTGCTTACTTGCAAGTCAATACATATCAAATTATTATTGGCTTGTAAGGAGGAATGGGTCCTTATTGTTCTTAGAATATCGATGCAGCCACCCAGCTTATAACTGAGATTCCAAATGTGCCCATATTCTGTATAATGTGCTTTAATGGAAATTTTCTTTTCTATATTTATATTTACTCTTCTCAGTGAAGATTCTTATTTGCTCTTCTAGGACATGGTTAATTCATTTATCTCAATACTTTGTAGGTAATAGCTTCTCAACTTTATTTATACTTTGGGTATATTGAACTCTAAGAATGCTGCTTTCACTTATTTGTGCTACAGATTTAAATTATCGACATAGAAATGCCCAGATGGCAAGCCGGGCCTCAGTGGAGCTCCATACTCTCATTTTCTTCAGGAAACGGTATGAAGCATTCACACACACACACACACACACTCTCTCTCTCTCTCTCTCTCTCTCTCTCTCTCTCTCTAATATTTCCTTTCATTCATGTAGGCCAACGGACACAGAGGCGAGAATAGTAAGGATAAGATCCAATGGATTTTTCGTATTTGTGCCCAAGTATGTTTCCTCACCTCATACAGAATCCTTTTCTGTCTGTTTTGTGTGTGTGGACTGACTTTAATATTCTGGAGTGGAGTCGAGTGTTAAGATAAACTTGTGGAGGTGGTTTACATATGTGAACTCTTTCTTTTTCCCATCTTTTGCAGGTATGGAATAGAAGGGCCTGTCTACTTGACCCCAAGAGGTGATAAGGGAGGCGGAGAGTGGTTTGTTGATGAGCAGCAGCAGAAGATTAGAAAAATGGATGGCAGCATGTCATACAGTGTTCTGCAGACGGTGTTTATTCATTTGGAGATTGTGGAGCCCCAGCCCAATAGGCCAAAACTCCAGCTTACGTTAGTGTAGCCGAGTAACTTTGCCTCTCCCCAATACTCTGCTTTCAGATGAGACAAGTATCTGCAGTGGGTTGTGTGAGCCAAGAGCTATTGCAATGCTTGGTTCTAACAATCAGGGGGAGATAGCTGTCATAGGACACATAGGAAATAGTGTATAGTTTCACAGTATAATTTATTCTACTTTTTGAATTTACGGTGTGAGAGTTTTGGAAATTGATAGTTGAGCTGAGAGATTAGAAATTGATTCTATGCCCAAAACAGTTGAATTTTAAGGTGTTATTTTTGCCAACCCAAACGACTCAGTTGTATTTTTTAGGTTTAATGTTTTACAATTTATATTCCAGGTCTGGTTGGGCAGTTTGAAGGGTAGTTTAATCTGGTTATTATTATTGATGACTCAACAAATCATAGTTAAACTTGGTGTTTTTCCACGATTTTTCTGCCAGTGGATGTCCCAAGCAAAAAATTGGTGCTTGCATTGATACTAAGTTCAATTCAACAAGAACAATGCACCACAATGAATCATAATGCATAAATCAAGGCTTTATCTATGAGAAACATTGAGCTATGAAAAATCTAACACACAATCACCCCCTTCTCTTTATATATATTTTTCCTACTACACAATAAGTAAACGAAACTATGGCATCTACATACACGCCCAAATCATACTCTAATTAATTTTTTTCTTCTAGTTGAAACAACCAATCGAATCGAAAAATGGAGGACAAAAGAACACCCAAATGCAGGAATGTAGATCCTTCTTCCCTCTGAAGTGTAAGCCTCTCACTATAAAATGCACCATTTAGGGATGCTAGCCATCCTCAGCTGAAGGCAGTTCAAGACAAGAGCCACATATAGACTGTTGACCAAATAGTAAGTGCCAAGGCTGCAACCAAGTATGTCCACAGGAAGATCACTGAGCACTCTGCCTCAGCCACATCAAACAGCTGGGTCATGGTTCCTGCATTAATTATAAGGAAGATTGTTAACAACCCTAGATTGTGAAGCTTGCTATTTGCAGAAGCATACTGGAGTTAGAAACACTTGCTGCTTACCAATATTCATGGCAGGTGGCAGGGTAAACTGAACCATCAGCACAAAATGGAACAGAGGGTCTGATGGGAGAAACCCAACCTTGCTTGCTCCTATTACAATCCCGATACCAATCACGGGCATTACTACGTATCTAACAATGATCACTCCAATGATGATAGGAATTTTGATCGTCGATTTGCGTAAACCTATTCGATTAGTTTGTCAGATTGTCTCACCTCCTAGAACAGAAGAAAACTAGTTCTAATGTTGAAAATCATAGGTTCATTACCTTGGATGAGGTTGCCTCCAAGAATAAGTGTGATACAAGGGATGGTTCCATTCCTGCGTAGTGCAGTTATTGTTACTTTGGCTTAGTACACATGTTTTCGGTTTAAATTTGTTTGATTGAACCATAAGAGATGCGCCTTAAGCAGAAAGGTACCTACCCAAGTTGTGTAATAGAGTCTTCGATCACCCGCAGGGGGGCGCTGTCACCAATTATTAGCTTCTTCAGAAATGGAATTGACCCAATAAAAAATCCCACAATCTGATCATAGACAGATAACAAAGACAAGTCAGTTCTTGGTCAGTCTTGAGGTCTCGAGAAGCATTTTTACCGTAAGAGAAATGTTAGAAAAACTCACCGCAGCTACTGTTGGTGGTGCCAGTAACTCATGTAAAATCTGCTTAACAAATGCTACTACTTTCCGGCTGAATGGTACGTCTGATTCATCGGCTACTATCTGCCATTTGAGAAATCCAGATAGTCCAAACAACATGCTTGAGTTAATATTTGCATATATATAACACAAACTGAAGCCAGACTAGCTCTAGTTTTCATCAGACTTGTTATGTAGATTGGTATATGAGGGTACTCACAGCTTCTTGGTTTCTAGAACCATTTGATGAAACTACTATAGAACCCTGCTCTTCATCTTCTCCCTTGAGAAGGGGAGTTTCCCCCTCAGCGTCTAAATCACTGTTGGGATTCTTTGAGGCCTCCTCAGCTGCCTCAATTGCTTGAAGCGCTTTCCATTTCATCGCTGAAGTTCGTATCAGCTGGTAACTGTAAGTCCAGATGAAGAAACCCCCAAGCTGCAATAACCAAGTTACTTGTTAGCTTTGAAATTAAATCATTTTTTATTTTTAAATCATGAACAAGTAGAGGTTTAACAATTGCATTACCGCCATGGAAAAAGACACATATGAGAGTCCAACCCTTTTACAAACACTATGATCGCCAAATGGGTTCCCATCCTCTTCACAGATTGCAGGGATAAGTATAAGGGGAAGGTTTCCCAAGTTTGCTATTCAACAAGATTTGCCATTACTTGATGAGCACACTACAAATTTGCTGCTATAAGAAAGAGATGGAAAACTATAAAATAAAAAAATTGTGCATTTACCTGATGAACATGCAGCCATTACCAGGCCTTCCTGATAAGGTTTCGGTCTGACAATCTTTACCAAAATCCATCCAAGAATCCCTCCAAATAAAAATGTAAGCCCCACGTTTACGATCATAAACCACCTGAATCAATAATCAAACAAGGTCCAAGAAAATGGGGAGATATTAAACAGAATAAAAATGAATGCACAAAGAAAAAAGATCCAAATACTGATGCAGAGGCATACATTGAAATAATGTCTTCAAATGTAATAGTCTTGGCCACACTTGCAAACACCAGTGAGGGGGTGAAAACCACAAACACAACCTGCATTTTTTTGTAAATCATAACTCAACAACTTCCAATTAATCATAAATACTTATTTGCATCTGATTCATGCAGGAACCAACTTATGTATCAAAAAACAGAACATGTGCCTACCTTGTTCATGGACCGCCGGGCGTCTGCAGGGAGAAGATTCCAATACTCAGTTGCCATGAAAGCACCCAGTAAACTGATTATGAGAACTTGGAAAGTTGGCATACAAGCCACCTCCAACAATGTCCAGAAACCCATCTCTCTCTCTCTTTTTTTCCTTGGTAGTTGAAACTTCAGACAGGGATTGCAGTTTCTGGTTTTCTAGTCCCAAAACTGTCCAAATGTGTTTTTCTTTGCAGTGTTTTTATATGAGATGCTTGAACTTCGTTAGTGTACTACTAAAACAAAAGAAAAATCCTGGGAAACAAAAACAAACAGAGAGAAGAAAACAGAATATTAGCCATCATCAAAATCCAAAGCAAAAATCACAGAGTGGAATTCAAGTTGTTTTTTTCCAAGGAAAGCCACTAAAGTTGATGCATACGTATTACATGTGAGGCCGTACCACACAGGGAGGAAATAGCCATGAAGGTAGTAACATTTGTCACTACTTGGTTCAATCCCATCACAGAGCGCTTATCTTTTGTACAAATTTGTTGTGCATATCTTTTGAATCTCTGGGATTTTACTTTAAAAATAAAATAAAAATCATTCTTTGTATTTAACCCAGGTGATAAAAAAAAATGTTTATGGTTTTTTAATTGGTGGTTTAAGCCAATTAGGAGGAACTTGGTTGGTCAGCTATAAATAGTCTATTTTTCCTTTTAAATATGGTTTTATTTTAATCTGAATAGAAGAATTTGTACAGACCAAAACAGGTTAGATCTATATAACATGATTTAGAATTTGGGTTTACTTTTAATTTCTATGCCAATAATATTGGACTGATAGACAACACTAAGGCAAGCTAAACCTTAAGGTTCAGAGTACAAATTCAATCAGAATTTGTCAAAGCATATAAAATATAATAATAATTTGGGACCCAGAAAAAGCCAAATCCAGCTCGTGACAACACTAAGTAACCAATCAAAAAGACCATCGCTTGTGGTGAGAAATTCCCTTTATTTGTAGACTTGTAGTTTAGACTATCGTTTTTATTTAATAATAATAATATAAAAAAAAACAATACAAGACGGTGGTCGCTAAACTAAGAAAGAAAGAAAAAATGTAGGTATAAATAGTGTTAGATTTATTTCTCTTCTTAGATGACTCAAATAGTCGGTGATTTATTTTGCAACTCTCTGGAAATTATTCATGCACAAAAAAGGCCAGCAAAATTTTGTCAATGAAAATGCTCAGAGGTTCATGAATTTCTTTTAAATTTCATATTCTTCAAAAGGAAGTTTTTGTAGCTGGATCGAACGGTCAATTCCGGTCAAGTGATGCAGCCGATAAGCATAAAACCTAAAGCAGATGCTAAAATTGACAGAACTTCGTCTATGCGCAAACATCGTCAAAGCAAAACGTGTATGATAAAGTGTAAGTGGCAATTGTATTATGTTACCATACATGCAAATTGCTACTTCTCCTATACATATACAAAAATCTTTAGGCATTATAGTGACAAAGAGACAGACAGACACTAAGGGGGACCATGGACATTAATAATCGTTATGTATATGGGTCTCAACTGGGGTCCACCATAAGGGTTGGTTCCACAAAAATGGAAAAGGGCAAAAAAAGAGTCTGAACCGAAAAAGTGAAAAAAGAAAAACGACTAATGGCTCGTTTGAGAGGGCCATAATCAATTCTGGAAAGAAGCATGTGTTTCGCTATTTTTAAAAAAAAAATCTAACTCCTTCCTGAAAGCGAGTGAAGCAGACAAATCAGAATGTGACTTAAGGGGTGTATTATTGAGGGGCCGCATGAACACTTGTTCAAAACGCAAAGCTAGCTTTTGATTATTTTCCGTAAACGAAGATGGGAAGTCTTTTTAATTGTTTTGGAAAAAAGGCCAAAAACATTTCGAACTCGCCTTAATTTTGTGGTTGAGAGGTGTGCAAATTCTGCAAAGATTCAAAAGTGCTAATAAAATATATAATAAAAAATATATATATATTAAGTTAAAAGCCATTTGACACGTGTGTGAATAATTTTTATTTTTTTGCAAACAGACTCTAGAGAATCTCTCTTCATTGGCTAACAAGTGACAACCACTAGATTTAGAACAACTTAAAGGAAACCCAGAATTTGATAGATACACCCACCATTTTCCACAAAGACAGGAATGTTGGAGAAATGACCAGAAACAACTATATAGAACCAGAAGAACTTTGATTTTAAAAAGAAGAAGAAGAAGAAGAAGTACTAATTAATAACCCATCAAATCAAGAAGATTTACAATATGTACCTTCATGAGTTCGAGGAACAATATGAAAACGACAGATCGGCATGCAAAGAAATAGCAGGAGAAAATTGAAGAACCATGTTGATGAAATTAAGCAGAAAATTGAAAGGGAAGAGAATTAAGAGATGATGAACCTGGAAATGAGTTTGGGGTGACAGAGTTGCGCACCAGCAAAAGCAAACATTGTTGAGAGAAAATGGGAGGAAGAAAGTAGTGGGAAGCTTATGGGGCTGAATGAGGAGAGAGAATAAGAAGAAGAAGAAGAAGAAGAAGCCATGACCCAAGAGACTCGCATGCGCCTTTTAATTTGGAGTATAAATCTCTACGAATTGATGGTTCTCGTTATATACAACAAGCTTGAGCTTCTTGCGTATATGCTTCGTATTTACTATTTATGCACAAGGATGTTTACTCCCTCCCACCAATGACTTTAATTCATTTGTACTTACAACCGCACAATATTTAACTAAAGCTTCATAGAAGTAACATAAGATGTTTACATTATTGAAGCATCTGACTGTGAATTTGAACCATCGATTAAGTCGATTCTTAACTGGACGTGTCATGATTTACGTCCCGACAAAATGAAACAATTGGTAGCTAGTACACATGAAGTGCCGCTCATCACCACAGAAAACCAAAAAAGTACATTATTGCAGGCACACAGCCTCACACGCAATAATAGACCGGTAAAATTAGCAAACAAAATATGAAAAAGGGCTGAAGATGCAAACAAGTGCAAGTATTTGCCGTACCAGTTTATGAACGTAATGCCAAACTTCTTCTGCATGTATAGATTGTATATATATATATATACATATATATAATTTACTTTTTTACTTTTTTACTTTTTTTCTTTATGGGGATCCAATTGCAGCTCTCAAATTGTTGAGCATATCCTATTAATAAAAATCGACAGATCACATGGGATATTTTTGTGGGTGATTTAGAATTCTATTAGGCAGGCTGTCATCTAGACAAATTCAAATTTGTCAGTCCAACCAAAACTCTACTACTGCATAATGATTCATGCATATGCATTGCCTCCTGTACGTACAGTCAGCATGATTATATATATATATATATATCCTACGTGTCATCTCAGTTGGCCACACAATACGCCAATGGACACAGAAATTTCTAACCAACTCTCAATCAACAAAATAAAATAACGAAACCACTTGTGTTATTTGGTGAAGGCATGATGAGCGACTGGTTTGGAGTTATCTCCATCAATATGGCATTACGCGGTGCCAGGGATACTGAAGGTCGGGGTCGCTAATTTAATTCAATTTGACGAATGTGCTTACGTATTTAAGAACAACTTGTATATCACGGTTTTATATATAATGTTTTCTCTATCTCTTTTATAACGTAACAAGAAAATGGAGATGGATTACATAAATCTGTTGTGTAAATTATCCTCCAATACTGTTGGAATTTTAAAAATGTTTTAAAAAATTTACCGTTTTGATTGATTGATTTATTTTATTTATTGTAGGGGTTATAAATATTTATTTTCAAATTATTATTTATATATTTAATGCTTTAATTTTTTGGTTTAATGTGGTAAATGTTACATGTTATTGGATGTCTATAAAAAGCGACTCCTACTTCACATTTGATGTACTATTAAAATATCACATACCACAATCACCACCACAATCTTATTCTCTCCTCTTCTACCTTTTATACTTTCTCTACTTATATTATTATTTTTGGTCGGTTCTGTGACTTGGAAACCTATATCCGACTATGAACGTGCTCATAGCGGACTTTGAGCCTGTGTATTCGGTGTCGTATCTTGGAGTTTTGTAGACCGTCAATACCTACACATAGGGCGGCTACAAAGGCTTTAGGACAACATCTTTGGCGTGGTTTACCATATCAGGCTTGTTTTCATAATCTTAATTTGTTTTACTTTTATTTACATATTAATTGTTTATTTTGTTTTACTTTACCTCAAAAGACTTTCCAATTTGTTTTATATATTATTTATATTATAAAGGGTTTTGCGTTTGGCTTTTTTTTTATAACAATCTAAATCCTTTGTATATTAATATTACTTTCTTTCCGTACTACTTTTTTTTTTTGGGGGTCTAAATCCGTACTACTGTTATAATGTGTGTGTTTGCTTCTTTAACTTTATGCCAAAATCCTTAATTTATTCTATAGTGCGGTTGAAGTCTAAATTGAATATTTGATTAATGAGATTATCACTTGGTTCAAATTGTAGTAAACAAAGTATTATCTTACACGTGTTTCAAATAAATCATATTTCTTAGGTTGCGTCTTTATCATGGCATAAGTTTGATTATATATGTGAAATTATATGTCTATTGAACCTTTGAAGTTGTATCTGTTAAGTTTGAATTATAAATCTTATATGTTTCAAACTAATGCATAGAAATCGTGACTTTTATAATTTTGATATTATTCCTCTGCATTACACACATATAAAATAAAATTATAACAAATAAATAAATAAATAAATGAAAGGCCTAACCCTAATGATTATGGGACCAGACCATATTGCATTTGTGCGTGTCGATTTGAGCTTTACAAAGATGCTGCCACTATAAGTCACTTGCATTTTGGTCAACCCACAATTAAATTTTCCTTTTATGAAGACAAATTTGATTTGAATATTCAATTGTTGCATTTTTGCAAATTTTTGTAGTATACTATTTACTTTGGTTTCAAATTCTTGAAAGAAAAAAAAAACGTGCAAACAGTTCTTTTGTAGTTTAATTGTTTTGAATTCAAAATCTATTAATTTTGCAAAACGGGCAGAGAGTTTATGTGATATTATTGCAAGTTTTATTGAGCCTAATTGTTCTTTACTTCGCTAATTGTCATTGCTTTGAATTTGGCAGAAAAACGTACAGTTTTTGTAGTATATATGCAGTAGTTTAACGCCTTAGTCTGATTCTGATTTGGGAGGCAATCCATTGCTATAAAAGCCTTAACTAGTTGGCTGGAAAAGGGAGAGCAGCATATTTCGAGAAATGCTTTATTATAATTATTATGATTATTTATTTTGTTCATCCACATTTTTTATTTTTCATGTGAAAGTTTCAAGTGTTCATACGAGCAATGAAAGTATACACTTACAAGGGCCACAAGTTGTTATATCTTGAAGAGTAGGGCTGTCATACAACCTAACTACATCGAGACATTATCTCTAAAGGGTGAAATCCCAAAAGAACCTTTCGGAGGGATATCACAAGAATGATTGGCATTGCCAGATAAGTTTTTCCATTTGTTTTGTTTGAGAACTGGATTTTCAAGGCAGCATGTTTTATGCATAGTATTATCTTGTTGACTCATCTGGTGATAAATTCGCATATACATTACTGATTTATTGACTTGAGTTTTCCAATGATACATCTCTTCAATCTGCATATAACACCTAAGGCTTTAATGATATGTTATTTTGGGATTGTGTGTATATTTTGCCGGTTTGGCATTGTTTTCGTTTTCTTTTACACTATGCTTTGGGATTCAATCAAGTAATAATCATGAAAAGCATGTAATATAACACTTAAGGTCTCATTTGGTTCATGGGAAAGGAGGTTTGGGGATGGGAAATCAATTGCTTTCCCATGTTTGGTAAGTCCAAGCATGGGAAATGATTGCCTGACGCATGGGAAAGTAAGGGGAAAAGTGAAGCCCTCCTCTCAACTTGGATTTTGTTTTCCCTTCTCATGGGAAAGTTTGGGAAAATAAGCCAACATTCAATACACATTTTTCATGAACATTTTATCCCCATGAACAATTTAGAATTGCAATGTATCATTAAATGCATTCTTTTTTTATTTAATTTAATATGGGTATAATTGAAAAATTATACAAACTTTGTTTTCCATTCCTACTCAAAACAAACATGGGAAATGAAACAAAGTGAAATCTCCCCGTTACTTTCCCGACATTACCAAACGTGGGAAATGAATCTTTCATTTCTCATTCCTTAAGAAATGATATGGGAAGTGATTTCCTCTCAAATCTATCCCGAGAACCAAATGGTGCCTAAGACTTTAATTACCTGACCAATATGAAAAGCATTTTTGGACTTTCATTATTGTTGGTTACTATTTCGACTTGCATGTTTAAATCATGAAGGCTTTGTTTATCATTTTTTTTCTTGGTTTCCTTCATAATGCATACTAATGCTAATAATTTGTTTACCCTCTTTAATGTGCTGGCAGTTTATGAACGTGGACAAATATAATAGTGTTAGGTGTGTCCCTTAAACGACATTTTTCGCTCTCAGAACGTGAAATCAAATAGAGCTATTTGAACCAAGACTTGTAAGTGTGAACTAATATTTTTTTGACTGTAAAGCCTTGACAGTAGTCACATTGAGTTCATTGTCATGAAGTGTATATGGAGAAGACTCAAACAAAATGATGTAGGGCTTTCAACCCGTAAATCCTTTGAGGTATTATTGGCAATCTTATGAAATATACTAGTGGGGGTTCTCGTCTTAAGATCCTTTTATTAATTATTTTTATTTTTATTTTTGTGTTCAACATTGGAAACCTAATGGATTTGCTTTACATATTTTAAACGTGGGGTTGCTTTATGTTCATGACCTTGATATTACCTTACAATAATAATTATTAAATAAGGATTTTTGGCGAACTTGTTGTGTGGGTGGGTGCGAAGTTTTCTTATATTATGATACATTTACTTTTTTAGGCGAGAAAACAAATGGACATCTTTAATCCCATCAATATCATGTCATTCAATTAAAGTTAATTATAAGTGCAAGCCTGCAATCAGATCAATGGCCTACTAACAGATCAGATGATGATTGGCATGGCCAGCTTGTATATAAAAAGAAGGTGAAGCAATGATATTTCTACATGGCTATAGTAAAGGTAAAGTCTCGATCAAAATTCAAAACAGACCCTAAATGGCGGTCCATTTGTACCATGAATGGTTGGCAAGTCATGTGACCTTTACCAGTTTACCCACATTTGGTTGGATTGGATCTGGACAAACCACCAAATTTAAAGAAAAGGATAATAAGCTTTGAACATTTGGTTGTCGATGTTGGACCCTGTATGAGTGGGGGTAAAGTTGTAGTCATTTTCTAGGTTATTATCATTACTTCAGGAGATTCTTTCTTTTTGCCGTGTTTCGCTCGAAGGGTTTCTAAATATTACTTGGCTTTCTAGTTAAGTCATTTTTTTTATCGCATATGAATCACAATTTTACATATATTCATCACAAAAATAAAATTTATCACACACACCTATGAAATAATTGTGAACTCAAACTGATGAGAGGAGGAGTGGTGCAACAGCATAGTATTTACCATTTAATTAGTTATTTTATGATATATTGTTGTTTTCTTATTTAGGTAGTTTTAGGATAACTTTTATTATATAAGTGTGATT